AGAAAAATATGTGTAAGGGTGTTTAACATGCAAAACCAGGAGAAGAAATGAAATGAATGATTAGAATTATAGGAAGAGGGCAAGTTCTTAGGTTGCCTTTCAGCTTCTATGAGCCATGGTAAGGATTTGAACTTTTATTTAAATTCTTATTTCATAAGGTAAGTGAAGCCATTGAAAGGTTTTTAGCAGGAGAGTAACAACATTCTATTTACATTAAAAACAAATAATATGGCTGCTTTGTGTAGAATGGATTAGACAGATACATGACACTAAGCTGAGTGATCCTCAGGAAGGTTCTACAGACATTCTGGTTAAAGACGTTGAGGGATGAGTGACAGCTGGAAGTGAGATGGAGAGACAAAACCAGGGTTGACACTGGATTAATAGATAAGTGAACAGGAGAAGGTGAGAAATAACAAGAATGACTTCCAGGGCTTTCTGGCATGATCACACGAATAGACAGTGATTGGTGATGAGACGGTAAGTTTGAAGATGATAAGACATAGTAATTGACATACAGTTCAATTTTAGCACTTGTCATGTTTGAAATGACAATGAACTCTTACATTTGGAAGGCTAATAGGAAATTGGATGCATGAACACATATTGAGAAGAGAAGCTTGAGCAGCAGACATATATTTGGGATAACTGAGGTACAGAGCAGAAACAAAGAGGACATTATGGGTAGACAATAATTTCAAAAGTATTAGTTGTGAAAGTGAGTGGAAAATGGGTGATTACTAGGAAGATATGAAGGGGCAGTTAAGAGGTTTGCTGTAGTTTGTGATTGTTTGTTTCCTATGATAGCAACTTTCAAAATTGATCCTCAGTGGGGAAGAAGTGATGTGGGTGGGACATATTTGAATGCTGACAGGAGTGATCTAAATTCCTGATTCTCACACTTGGAATTGCCTATTGAGTTTAAGCACATGCTAATTTGTGAGTTCTACTTGCACATAGTCCAATTTAATTGGTATAGGTTTCTTCTGAGGAAAGGAATATTTTAATGCTTCTTAATTGAGTCTAACATGCAGCAGAATTTGAGAATCTGTAATCTAAACAGAGATTTTAAAAACCATGTTAAAATATACAAGAGAAAAACCACGAGAGTAAGGTGTGGAGGAGTGTGACATTCTGGATGCCTTGGTGAGTGAGTGAGGGGTTCAGGCAACAAAGAAGGGGTAAAGAACTGAACTAATGCTTGAGTATAGGCAAGAGAGGAGAGGCAGCTTAGAATGTACATGAAAGGTGTCATCACTTGCACAAGAGGGAATCAGTCAGTAGGTGGGAATATTATGTAAAGGCTTCATGGAGCACATGGTACACCTCACTTATTATAGAAGAAACTGATGGTGGTGACCCGATGCAGGGAGAAAGAGGAAACCATTTTTCACCATTAGAGAAAGATTTGAACGAATGTAAAAACAATATATAGACACAAGAAATATAAAGGACAATGCCTAAAAACTAGTCAAAGATTTTTATGGACAAGAACCTGCAGCTCATGACAGAATCTAGGGGTGCTGCCAGACTTTAGAAGGTCTGAAAAGTAACCTGCCTTTTTCTGAATTTTCCAAATCTTTGGCACTGGAATATAAGCATCATTGTCTCTCCTAGTTTTAGATATCAACCACTCCTTGTCTTCACTTCTCCCACCGTCTCACCTCAATTCACTCTGGTTGTTTCCCTAAATTCACTCAGAAACCCTGATGGGAGGGCTTGGGACTAACATCTCAAGTACTACCAGCTTCACCCTAACAGGCTTCCCCGAAGATGAAGGGTCTGGAGCACTGGCTGGCTGCCCTTCTGCTGCTGCTTTATGCTATTTCCTTCCTGGGCAACATCCTACATATCAATAACACAAGCTGAGAGCCACTTCAAGACCTCAGTCCCAACCAAATCATTACAAAAAGAATAAACTACCTAGGTTTACAGTTAAGCATGCAGGTGAACGATCTCTACAATGAGAATTACAAAATACTGTGGAAAGAAATCAGGACACAAATGGAAAAACACTCCTGCTCAGGGATAAGAAAAATCAGTTTTGTTAAAATGGCCATACTGCCCAAAGCAATTCAGAGATTTAACAGTATTTCTATCAAACTATCAACGCCATTCTTCTCAGAATTAGAGAAACTATTCAAAAATTCATATAAAACAAACAAAAAAGAGTACAAAGAACCAAATCAATCCTAAACAAAAGCAACAAAACCAGAGGCATCACAACACCTGATTTCAAACTATATTAAAAGGCTGCAATGACCAAAGCACCATGTGACTGGTACAAGTAGACCAATGGAACAGGTCAGAGAAACCAGAAATAAAGCCACACACTGACAACCATCTGATCTTTGACAAAGTCAACAGTAACAAGGGGTGGCAAAAGATTCCTTATTCAATACCCAATGCTGGGAAAACTGGCTAACCATGCCCAGCAGATTGAAACTGGACCCCTTCTTTTCATCATACACAAAGGTCAATTCAAAATAAATTAAAAACTTAAGTGTAATATTATAACTAAAACTGTAAAAATTCCAGCATAAAATCTACAAAATACCATTCTGGACACAGGCCTTGACAAATATTTCATGATGAAATCTCCAAAAGCAGTTGCAACAAAAACAAAAATAGTTAAGTAGGACCTAATTAAACTAAGGATTTCAGCACATCAAAAGAAGCTATCAATAGAGTGAACAGACAACTTACAGAATGGGAGTGAATATTACCAAACTATGGACATGAGAAATGTCTAATATCCCGAATCTATAAGCAGCTTAAATTAGCATACAAAACATATAACTCCATTAAAAATGGATGAAAGACATAAAGAGATACTTCTGAAAAGAAGACATGTGTATGTGGCCAACAAGCATATAAAACCAAACACCACATGTTCTCACTCATAGGCAGGTGTTGAACAACAAGAACACATAGACTCAGGGAGTGGAGTATCACATACTGGGGGAAGTTGTCAGGGAACTAGAGGAGGGTCAGCGGGGGGTGGGGAGGGATAACGTGGGGAGAAATGCTGGATGTAGAAGCAGAGGGGATAGAGGCAGCAAACCACCTGGTTATGTATGCACCTATTCAACAACCCTGCATGATCTGCACATGTACCCTAGAACCTAAAGTAGTAAATAAATAAATAAATAAATAAATAAATAAATAAATAAAATTAAAAGAATGCTCAACAACATTAATCGTTAGAGAAATGCAAATCAAAACCTCAATGAGATATCATCTCATACCAGTCAGAATGATTATTATTAAAAAGTCAAAAAATTAGAGATACTGGCGAGGTTACAGAGAAAATGGAACACTTATACACTGTTGGTAGGAATGTAAATTAGTTCAGCCATTGTTGAAAGAAGTTTGGGTATTTCTCATGGAAGTTAAAACAGAGCTATCCATTGACACAGCAATCCTATTACTATATACCCAAAGGAGCATAAATCATTCTACCGAAAAGACACATGCTCTTGTATGTTCATCACAGCACTATTCACAATAGCAAAGACATGAAATCAACCAAGGTGCCCTTCAACAGTGGACTGGTTAAAGAAAATGTGGTACATATATAACATGGAATACTATGTAGCCATAAAAAGAACAAAATCATGTTCTTTGCAGCTACATGGATGCAGCTCGAGGCCATTATCTTAGGCATGAGCAGTTTCCCTGGTGAGTTAAGTTAGACTACATAGTGCATCTCTCTCTCTCTCTCTCTCTCTCTCTCTCTCTCTCTCTCTCTCTCCCCCTCCCTCCCCTTCTCTTTCTCTCTCTTTCCTCTCTCTCTTTTCATCTACAAGTAAATCTAAATTCAGTCTGAGAGCACCAAAATTAGCAACGAGGAATTTCTTACTATATCCTACCTCTCTGGTATCAAGGGAAGTGTGTGAGAAGGTCTGAAAGAATTATTTTCTGGTATCTAAATCATAAGTGCTCTAATCTGTCTATTCTAGGCTTTTTCTTCTTTTTTTAAATTATAGTTTAAGTTCTGGGGTACATGTGCAGATTGTGCAGGATTGTTACATAGGTATACACCTGCCATGGTGGTTTGCTGCATCCATTCTCCTGTCACCTACATTAGGTGTTTCTCCTAAGGTTTCTAGGCATTTTTTTTCCTGCAACTGGAAATCCTAGAACATGTCATTTTTTGGAAGACAGTTAAAATCTCAAGAAGGAAAGTGATTTCCCCAAAAATTCTATGAATCAGATGTCTCAGATATTGAACATTCTTTTCTGTTGGTGAGGACTGAGTGGTGGGCAGATAAAAGAAGTAAAGAGAGATCTGGAGATTTTTCTAAATGTCAATATCTATCAGTTTACCTGGATCATATTTGTTCATATATTTTATGGTGAGTTCTAATGATTAATCCAATTTCACTTTGTAAAGTTAAAGCAATGTATGAGTGTTTGAGAATTACAGTGTCAGGGAGAGCAAAGGCAGCAATGATAATGTTAAGTGATGCCAGTTTGACAGGCCGTATTTGCAGTGGTTGGGTGCTGCTCTAACACTAGAGAGAGATTAGTACTGAATCTCAACTGGACCACATATTGCCTATATTAGTCTGAAGAATTAACTTAATTCTCTCTGTCTTACAAGATTTGTACAAGTATTAAGTGAACTAATACACATAAATAATTTATAAAAGAACTTGACACATTTTAGGACTAAGTTCATTAATTATGATATTAGTAATATTCATTATTATAGAAAATAATTCCTAGCTTAAATTAATCTTCCTTTGTAAAATTTGTCTAATTACTCAATTGCCTCCATAGTTATCTTTCTAAGAATGCTGTTGGTGTTTACTGAATGTACTGTTCATTTGGAACTCCTTGTTTTGTGTTACTAAGTTTTGCATCACCATTTCCTGAACTACTTTCTCCACAGCACACACATCTGTCTTATACTTTGATGATGATGATGATGGTGATGCTACTGATGAGAGCCTATGTCCAAAACAAACAACAGATTCTAAAGCCAAATGTGAAAGTCATATTTTGATGCGGTGAAACATGCGGACAATGGCTCGGCGGATTTCCTTTGTCTTGACGCTGTAAATGAGAGGGTTGAGCACAGGAGGCACAAACAGGTATACATTTGACATGAGGACATGTATGTAGCTGTGGGACATGCTTCCCAAAGCGGTGCACCATGGAGACCCCAATCATTGGCACATAAAACGCAAGTACAGCCAGGATATGTGACACACATGTGTTGAGAGCTTTGAGGCGTTCTTCATGGGAAGCAATGGCCATGACAGAATGCAGAATAAGCACATAGGAGAGGACGATAAAAAACAGGTCCATGCCAAAGGTGGATACAAGAACGAAGAGTCCATAGATGCTGTTGATAGTGATATCTGCACAGGCAAGCTTCATCATGTCTGGGTGCAGGCAGTAGGAGTGAGAAAGAACATTGGATCTGCAGATAGGCAGCCTCTTAATAAGAAAGGGAAGAGGGAGGAGGGTGATGAAGCTTCGAGCAGTCACACCTAAACCCATTGCAGCAACGACTTCATTGGGGAGCACAGTGGCATAGCGAAAGGGGTCACAAATGGCCACGTAGCGGTCAAAACTCATGGCCAGCAGAATACCTGATTCTATCATGGAGAAGGAGTGAATAAGAAACATCTGAATTAGACAGGCATCAAAAGTGATGCTGTGGGCATTGAGGCAGAAGGTTCGGAGTACAGTGGGCAGTGTGGCTATGGACATGGCCACATCACTGAAAGACAACATGGACAGGAAGTAGGACATGGGCTTGTGGAGGTTGGGCTCCACTCGCACAGCCTGCAGGATCACTGCATTTCCCCCAAGGGCCACAGCGTACATCACACAGAGGGGCCCTGCCAGCCAGGAGTGAGAGCTCTCCAGGCCAGGGATACCAGTCAGGAGAAAGAATGCAGGCTGAGTGACATTGAACAATTCCATAGCAGAATGAACTTAGGGTACTTTTCAGAGTCAGATCTTCTGACTTGGAGAATCCTAACAGTTGCACTTGCTGGAGGACAAGAAATCAGGAAATAAGAGACAAGGTGATGATGTTGACATGAATGGAAACTGATGCATTCATGAAATCACTAGTTGGGGGTTGATGCGGGCAAACTTCTTTTCTCCATATTTTATGATGATCAGGCTGCAGGCTGAGCTAATATTTCCCTCTGTATTATGAAGAAGGAAGACATTGACAAATACTTCAATAATAGAAATTAGTTAAAAGGAAAATGTTTAAATTACATTTCTACAACTTCCATGTATTTCAGAGGCATCATTCTACAGAGATATGCTAACTACAGATCACAAATAGCCACCATAGAAGAAAGTAAGGAGTTTGTATTATCAACAGCAGTTGGAAATATTTAAATATTTTCTTGAAAATGTTGTTTGATTCAAGTGTCACTAATTAATAAGAGAATTTCCCAGAGCAAGTTTGTATTATGTTGTGTGCTTGGATAGAGGGGGTAAAGGACAGTGGGGTGTGGTCATTGACTGCCTCTGGGTATCAGCTTTTCATTGGAAGAGTTACTGCACAAAAGCAGTAACAGAAACAATGTATATTTGTGCAAAGGCACAAGGCTGTATCTGTTTCTGGAAAATCTGTGTATTCTTCCCTACAGATTCTATAGGTACACTAGCGTTCAGTCTGTGGGAGAGAACTATTCCAAATACAAACTTACATACCCTGACATGGTTAGATGTACTCTCAAAATACCCATTAGTCACCAGGACACATTAATGTACCTTCACAACAGCTAGTAGAAAGCTCATTCATACTCTAACAAGACACTCATTCACATACTCTCTCCATACCTCACAAAGTCACTCGTTATGCAATTATATTTACACATTCTCTCTTGATCTTTACATCATTTAACATGCACGATAAGATGGGTTGCTTTCCCAGCAATACATAACCCACAGGTACTATGGTTCCAGCAAGACAGTGGCGGCCCCTCCGTGTTTATGCTGATTATGTCCCTTCTGGTCTCACAGCTCAGTCTGCACATGTCTGTGTCTCCTCAAGAACTCTGATTCCTTGGGATCCAGGACTGATGTTTGTCTCTTGTTTCTCCCATTTGACTACACTCTCATTCTTTATATAGAGTCTTGTAGAAAGTAATCACAATACGTAGAAGAGAACCAAGCCAATGTAAAAAGTAACAGAAAGAGAAGGGAGAAGAAAACAGACCGAAAGCAGGATTTTGTGCAGGCAAGGCCAAAGCCATTCTGGGTCTGGAAACTTATGTTTTAGTATTTGTAGAAGAAAGACTGCCTGACAGTTCCAGAATTACATCCCTTCTCATACCTCAGGGACCACTAACATTGTGGGTTGTCTGGACAGATATGAATAAAGTAATGCTGGGAGAGAAAATGAATACTTTTTGAACACACGTGATGTGCCAGGTACTCTGCAAAGAACTTTACATTTGTTTTCTCATTTAATCCTTAACACATGGGGACACTGACACCCAGTGAAATGAGCTTTCCTCACAGTTTATAGAGACCAGGTGATAAAAATCTTCAATTTAAAATCTTTGAAGACTCTCTTCTGTCTCTCTTTTTTCTTTTTTTTTTTACTTTAAGTTCTGGAATACATGTGCAGAGCATGCAGGTCATGTTTTTGGCAGGGACATGGATGAGGCTGGAAGCCATCATCCTCAGCAAATTAACACAGGAATGGAAAACCAAACACTGCATGTTCTCATTTCATAAGTGGAGTTGAACAATGACTCTCTTCTCTCTCTCTCTCTCTCTCTCTCTCTCTCTCTCTCTCTCTCTCTCTCTCTCTTTTTAGACGGAGTTTTACTCTTGTTACCCAGGCTGGAGTGCCATGGCGTGATCTCGGCTCACTGCAACCTCTGCCTCCTGGGTTCAGGCAATTCTCCTGCCTCAGCCTCCTGAGTAGCTGGGATTACAGGCATGTGCCACCATGCCCAGCTAATTTTTTTATATTTTTAGTAGAGACGGGGTTTCACCATGTTGACCAGGATGGTCTTGATCTCTTGACCTCGTGATCCACCCTCCTCGGCCTCCCAAAGTGCTGGGATTACAGGCTTAAGCCATCCTCGCCCGGCGACTCTCTTCTCTCTCAACAAGGTCTTTGAACATCTTTAAGGCATTGGAGAGGAAGTTTAAAAGGAAAATAGAGAAATGCATTTCTGAACAAAGATTTAACAGATACCCTTAAATAAAGAAATAGAGGGGCTAAAAGCAGATACGTAGGAAGATAATGATACAAAAGTACCTGTCTCCAAGGCTGAACACAAATTCTCCTACTCCTGGAACCTAGAATCTTAACATTACTGAAGCCACATAAGAACCAGGTGGTTTAGAAGAAAGGACCCTGAGCTGGGTGTCAGGAGTCCTGGCGTTGGACCCTGGCTCTGGAAGGCACTGGTTACATGAGCCTAGAAAAATCCATTTCTTTTTCGAGACCTAGGTCTTATTTATGTTTTATTTTTATTTTTGAGACCGAATATTGCTCTAACGCCCAGGCTAGAGTGCAAGGGCACAATGTCGCCTCACTGCAGCCTCTGCCTCCCAGGTTCAAGTGATTCTTGTGCCTCAGCCTCCCGAGTAGCTGGGATTATAGGGGTGCACCATCACGTCCATCTAATTTTTGTACTTTTAGTAGAGACAGGGTTTCACCAAGTTGGTCAGGCTGGTCTCGAACTCCTGAACTCAGGTAATCTGCCCTCCTCAGCCTCCCAAAGTGTTGGGATTACAGGTGTGAGCCATCATGCCTGGCTTATGTCTTATTTTTAAGGATATTCTCTAAGATCCTTTTTGGCTTTGATCTTCTTTTACTTTATTTTACTTTTTAATCAATCAAAGAATGACTGTGAGAGTTTGCTGTGGTGCTGTTATGGAGGCAGAAAGCAGGTAGATAGAGGCTAAAGGGATGACCAGAAAGGCTGTCTAAAGACCACAGTTTTCAATCTATATCATGGATAATAAAAGAATAAAATTATTAGCTATTAATGGTTCATCTAAAGTTTATGACTGATTTCTCCTATACTTTTAATATCCTGGAGACTTTTTACATATTTTGTTATCACTGAATTCATAAGGGAAGAGCAAATAAATCACATGTGCTTCAGCTGTCTGTCATGGCTGGGTTGTGACCACTTCCCTTCCAGATTTCTGAACCATTCCTGTATCCCAAGTCCTGCTTCCCTCTCTGAATTTGCAGCAATGTTAATGAATCACGGAAACTTTGACCTTTGAAGTCCGGAGTCACAAAGAAATGGACTATGACAAATAAGGACTCTAGAGAAGTACAGTGAATTCCTTGGGGCTACACAAGCAGTCCATGGCAGTGCCTGAACAAGAACTCGAAGTCCAGGGATCTTTCCCGCTGCTCTGCTCATTCTACTAACATGCCGCTATCAGATACCCTCCAGGAAGCTTTTCCACTTCCCCTCACCGTACCCCTTGCCCATTTTAATGCTTTCATGGAGCAGGCTTCAGGAGGATCAGTTGGCTTATTTTTACAGGGTTTCAGAACTCACCAGAAGAGAGACTGAGAAGACACCGACAGAACAAGTTCTTCCCTTTCTCTGCTGAAGTGAATTCATGCCTGCCACTTTTATGTCTCATGATAGGCCCTGGGATAGAGGACAGTGATGCTGACTTTGTGTCTGAAAATTCTTCAGGGAGGTTTTAGTCTCCTGAGATCTGTAATGACTACTGAGAATAAAGCATGTGCTCTTGTACCTGAAAAAGAACTCAGCAATATGTCAGAGGAATTCTTTACTACACTCAAGACATTGTCTTGTGATAGACAAACACTATAAGAGAGGAGCTCATTACCTTCTAAGAGATTCTGGGTTTATATGATATGATGACCAAGCCCATCAATTGAAGTCTAATAAGAAAGTGACTATTTTTACTCTTCTTGTCTCTAAATATATTGAGTGCGGCTGGTTCTTTTTTTTTTTATTCTTGGATGAAAACCATTCTTTAAATTTTCTGGTCACATTCAGATAATGAAATATCTTCTGGTGAATAATTAGAATGTTTAGTCTAGTATAATAGTCAAACTTTCCAGCATTCATAGCTATATCCTTTCTCCTTCTCCCATCCTTCACATGCTAATTCTAGTTTCTGGTTTCTCCTTCAAGGAAGAGAGAGATGGGGGAATGGAAAGTTCACAATTAATTGGTGCTGCCAATGCTATAATGTTAACTGGGCCTCTTAAATGTATAAAGCTGACTCCTTCTTACATTTGGTGCTTTCATAGGTTATTCTTAGAAGCTTCTCTTCATCTTTTACTTGTTCTCCACTTGATTTAAGTTAATACGACTTTATTCTGTGTGGTTGCTTATAACTCCATCGACCACCTTGGATTGCCCTTGTGGAACCATGCAGTCTTTTTGGTAGGACATAAGACAGCACTGTGCCAGCTCTCTCTAGCTTCTAGCCCATTCAAGAAGTGGTCAGGCTTTTTACAACAAGTGCCCAATTTCAATGCAACAATAGTCTCTCCTTCAATCTTGCTATCAGAGTGGAAAGGCACATTTATCAATGTTTATTTACTTAGATTGAACATCCACTGGGTGTAAATCATATTAAGTGGCTCTGCTGACACACATGGATCATCAGACACAATCTAACCTAGGAACAAAAATTAGGGTTCAGTAGGGTCTAGTTAGAATATAAGATACACATCAGCTCTTTTAATTGAGAAAAATTAATGACTTGTTAACCCAATGTCGGCAAACACACAAGACAAAAAGGGAATATGAAGGTGTCATTGTAGGCAGCAACTTCAGGACATAGCTTCTAAGCCTAGGACTAGAGGAACCAAGGTAGGAACCTGGGATGATTAAATCTTACTATTTTGAAAGGGGAGTGCTGCAAGGATGAAACTCAGACTTTGAGGAGTGGTCACTGTTTAGGTGATGCTGGGGTCTCAAGAATTCAGAAGA